ACGGCTCACGAAGCAGGTCTGGAAGGAAGACGACTGGCAGACTCGAGCGAGAAAGGCCCCTGGAGCCAGCGGGAAGCCATCTGTGGAACTAAACCTCCCCGGTGACCAGGAAAGCTTTCCGTGGAGCCCACGTGCCCTGACAAGTGGAATCGCCTATGGCATTTCCAACGGGACCTGCCTAGAACCCCTCCTGAGAAAGAGCTCTCAGGGCGGCTGTGCTGGAGGCGAGGGGGCGAGGGGGGTCCGCCGGGGACAGCCAGGCACTGGGTGCTCTCCCCAGAACCGGCCACCCCCTTCTCCGCACCTACTTCTGCAGGTTCCTGCCGTCCGATTCACTCATCTTTTTATGATGCCAGCAGTATGTGCAGGGGTGAGACCATCGGGGTCCTCACGTGGCTTCTGTTCTGGCCGAGCCTCTGAAACCCTGAGCCAGGCCTTCGAGGGGCAGAGAGCACGTGCTGGCCACTCGCATTCAGAGCAGGTGGGGAATCTTTGGGCAGTCCCCCCAAATTCAGCTTCGGAGCCGTGATTTCCGCCAGTCGCTAAAGCGGACACCACGGTGGAAGATGGCAGCACGTCTATGCGTGTCGTCCATGGCCAGAGGCCCAAGTCACGTGGTGGGTAAAAATCCAGCATGCCCACCTCTGCGGCCTCTGTGCACCTCAACCAGGGTTTTATTATTAAAACTCAGCACAGGGTCCCTGGGGGGCTCAGGCATTTAAGTGTCCGACTCTGGCTCAGGTCATGATCTCACGGTTCATGAGTTCAAGCCCCGCATTGGGCTCTGTGCTCACAGCTCAGAGCCTGGAGCTGCTTCGGATTCTGTGTCTCCCTCTCTCTCTGACCGTCCCCCACTCATGCTGCCTCTCTCTCTCTCTCTCAAAAATAAACATTACAAAATATTAAATAAAAAATAACCTCAGCACTCTGTTTGTCGGTAGGATTTTAGCCTCCTGATCAGGAATCAGGGACCTCGCTGCAGGGGGCACACGCCCCTTAGCACCTGACCACCCACTTCCCCTCAGGACGCAGTCGGCCACAGACCAGGCTTCCCATTTCATGGCCGCAGTCCTGGAAGGACCCACCGTCTGGACAGGATTTGGGGGACAAGAAGGACACAGGGGTGAAGAACATTGACTTTCACCCTGAGATGGGTTCCCCTTCCCAGCCTGTCTGGATCGCGCATCTCTCCAAGGTGAGAGTCTTGGCTTTGTGCTAAGATGCCCTGGCACGTTCTTCACTTGAGAACCTCCCGTTTCACGAAGAGAGGGCGGCCTTGGACTCAGAGCCCCACGGACGGCACAGCCCGCACGGTCTCGCCATCATCACTTGGCCGCCTCTGCTTCGGCTGTGGTGCTGATGTGCACTGTGTTTTGAAAGACGTTTAAGCCAAAGCAGTGAATGGTTTAGAGGAAGATCCGCTCACTCGCTCATTCCGCAAATATCCCTGCAGCACCAGCTACGTGCACACTGTGGCCTGAGACCCTGAGCGTTAGAGCCACAGATAAAACGGGCAGAATCCCGCAGGTGGGTCGGGGCTGGCGTCGTGCACAAATACTGTAAACACGGAGCCCGTCACGCGTCCGTTGCTGAGGCTCGAGAGGGAGCGGAGTCGAAATCACCTCTTCCCCAGACGAGGGCGAGTAGCCTGGGGCACGGGCAGAGCTGGCGGGGAGGCCAGGTGCCTCGCGGTCACCTGGAAGCCACAACTGGACCTTCCTGCTTTAATGTAAACGTTTAACGGCAGAAATGCAGATCGTTTTGCAGTCGGTGCCGCCTTCCGCAGGTGCCACCTCTCACCTGCCCAACGGCCTCCACGAGCTGGGCTCTCCCACGGGCTCTCGGGTGCTGTCTGCACAGCAGACCCACACTTTGACCTCCAGCTGCATGGGTTTGGGCGGCGGTGGGTCGGCCTGCAGGGACTGACGCATGCACTCTGCACTTTAGGAAGCACCTCACCTAGAGCGGCCAGCCCCCTGCAGCTGCAAGCTCGCATCCCCGGCCCAGCTCTGCTTCGGAACCAAGGAACTGCGGCCGCCAAGGGTCAGAAGGCACAAAGGAGCAGGGCAGCCAGGTGGTGCCGCCTCCCCTGCGCAGGGTGGAGGTCTGGCCTTGCTGCGCACGAGGCCCGTTTGCAGGTGACCGCCTTCACCTGGGCCACGCCCACAACAACAGGGACCGAGCCCTTGTGAACCCGGAAGCCAGAGCACGGGAGAGTTCTGCCCTCCCACCCCCCAGGGACTGGCATGCAGACCAGACAGCCGACCGGGGACGCCTCCCTCCCTCTTCACACCAAGCTTAGAGGCTCTCAGACGCCACGTTCGCGAGGCTTCCTGTGCCAGCCACACTCACAGAACCAGGGATGTGATTTAAGATATCCAGAGGATGATTCCTGGCTATAAGCATTTATTTCTTGCCTTGAGCACTGAATTTAGAAGCAACTCTCGCGCACACACAGGATGTGACTACATTGCATTTCCTTAAAGAGCGTTTTCTCCCCGGTCCTGTGACTTCGGATCTACGCACACCATTTGTCAGGTCCCACACCATTGCTGGGGTCCCCGTGACATGCTGAGTAAAGGTCACCGGCCCCGCTGAAGAAAGGGTGTGGGAAGAACGTCCCACCTCCCGGGCCGCTCCTGGGGCACCTGCCTTCCCAGCAGCTCCTCTGAGCCAGGAGACGTGCCAACATGGCATGAAGGCAGGGGAGATGTAAGTGACACCCATTTTGCCCAGATCTCTTCTCCTTTCCACACTCGGTGGAGAGTTGCAGGAATCATCTCCTCTACACTTCCTGAGTCTGAAGCAGAGCCCCCTTGCTGTTCTCCGGGGTCCTTTCACACGGGGAGTCGGCTCCCATTTGGAGGGCTAAGTACTGCTTTCAAATGGCTTCTCGTGAGCAAATGTCAACCCCTCCTGTACCACCACCCCCTTAGGGACCAACCTGGGAGGAGATACATTGACTCTCTCCTCATCTCCAGGAACAAATACTGAGTGAGTCCTGGGTGGGACACTGTGCTGGGTACACGGCCTAGAAATGGGGTGCAAGACCCTCATCAGAGGACATGAGGGAGGGGAGACAGGGAGGGAGAGAAAGACAGAGACAGACACAGAGAGACAAGGACATAGAGACAGTGACAGAAAGAGACAAAGAGAGAGGGAGAGAGACACAGAGAGATAAGGAGATAGAGACAATGACAGAGAGACACAAAGAGGGAAGGAGACAGAAAGACACAAAAAGAGAGAGACAGACACAGAGAGACAGAGACAGACAAACAGACGGTGGCACATTTGGAGACAGAGGTGGGTGAAGGATGGAGGAGGGGTGAGGGGAATCAGGGACACGGGGGAGGGGGAGGCTGGGGTGGGCAATGGGGTGGCACTCTCGTTCCTGAACCACTTCCTATGTCCCGCTAACGTCGGGAAGGTCATCAGAGGTGCTGGGCTTCTCTGCCACCGAGAGCCTTGGCTCCTTCTCACCTTGAAGGGCGAGGGGAGAGCAGCCCGTGGTGCTGAGCCGGCCGCCACGATGTTACACAACTCAATGTGCTGCCAATGTTTTTATATAATCCTCCGGCTCTCCCCATAAAACAGCCCATAACACCCTGGCAAACACACTTCGGTAATGCCATGTGCCCTCACCGGGGCGCGCACTTCCGGGAGATGAATCACAGCACCAGCCGAGCCCGTGGCAGCTGGACTAAACTCTCCTCCTGGCTGCAGCTCGGGAGAGATCGGAACAGCCACACAGCTCCCTCGGCAAGGGCACCTCTGGGGGAGAGCCAGGGGTCCTGGGGCGGCGAGGGGGCGCTTGGGAGGTCAGAAGGATGCTCGCTCCCTCCCAGACAGCGGGTGGGGCTGCGGACGGTTCCCTCACCCCGGGTGTCCCCAAACTCCCGGGTTTCAGGACGCCCTCCAGAAGGGAAGGCCGAGAAGCGCCCCCCCCTCCCCCTACTGGCAGGGAGGCCGTGCAGACCCCGGCGGTGCAGGCCAGACGCCTCTGCCCGCAGCCTGCTACCGCCGCTGCCTGGCCAGGCTGGCCGGGCTGCCTGTGCACTTGCACAATAACATAAAGCAGACAGAAAAAGCCCACTAATGAGGTAAACACAAACTTCTCTCCTTCCTCCTTGTACCTCAGCACAGAGGCAGCCCAGGGACCAGCACTCACTGTATTCGACGCATCCCAACGTGGAAAAACACCCGTTCCTCCCAGCTGCGGCCGCCGGCCCTGACCTGTCACACTGACGCTGACGCTTGTGAGGAGCCCCCCACCAGGAGCTGGGCTTGCCGAGGACTGTGGGCTCCCCGCACCACAGCCCAGGGTCCGTCTAGGTGACCAGCACCTGCCAAGCCCCTGCTGGACCCCTGACTCAATCTGTCCACGAGTCGTCAACCCCTGGCCTCATGCTTGTCCCACAGCAATGCTGTTTGGGGGGGGGGGGGCCCAAGCGTCCCCGGGGGGGGCTGGACTGGCCCTGGGGTCACAGGGAGGCACCTTTCCCCGCTGGCATTAAGGAACAGGTCAGCAGCCACTGAAGGTGGCACCACCTCCTTCCAGTGCCCACGTCTTCCGGGAGGGAGGGGGGTGGCCGCAGGCTAGGACCCCTGCCCCCACAGCTGCTGGAAAAGCGGAATGTGCCCCTCACCCTCGGACCTGGGCACTGTCTGCTCTCCAAGCAAGTCGCAGAGCCTCTTTAGAAGTTCTCTCAAGTTCTCTCAGGGAGTGAGTCGGAGGCGTCGCGTGTGTGGTGACAGGGGCGGCTCTCACGTGTCCACCGGGCGAGTGAATGAGTGCGTGGACATCCAGGCCAACACTCTCCGCCGAGGGAGCCCTTCTCCTCGCCTGCCTCCTGCCCGGCCTCCTCCTGCGGGAAGGACTCTGACCCCAGCCCCTGTTGGCCGCCAGGTGGCCGGGACACGGTGCTGTGTCCTGAGAACTGGGGGCGACTCTCCCCCCTCCCCCGCCCCTCCGGCCGGAGCAGGACGCCGCCTGGGCTCACCGTTCAGCTGGTTGTAGACCACCTCCTCCAGGTGGGCCAGGCGCTGCAGGATGGCTTCGCGGTCGGCCAGCGCGCCCCCCTGGGCCGGCCGGCCGCGCACCCGGTGGTCGGCGCCGCGCACGACCTGCACCCGCCGCTCGGAGCGGCCCTGCAGGCGGCAGTAGGCGGAGAAGACGACGATGCCCACGAACACCAGGATGTTGACCGTCAGCAAAGTTTTGATCTTCCTGGCCACCGCCATGAGCGCGGCTGGAGGCTGGGGGCCGCCTCACCCGCGGGGCATCCCCGTGGGCCCAGCGGCCGCAGGAGCCTCCGCCCGGCGCACGGCTTCGGGGACCATGAGGCAGCCCGGCTGACCGCGGGGCCGCGGGGGCTGTGGCCGGAGGCTGCGGGAGCGGTGGGGGCTGCGGGCGGGAGTGGGGGACGGGGCTGCCGGCGGGAGTGGGGGCTGCGGGAGGGAGTGGGGGCTGCGGGCGGGAGTGGGGGCTGCGGGAGGG